GACCAAACTGCTACAGATTTTCCGAGACAATGTAAATTTAAAGATAGCATTGGAGAATGTGTTTTGTCGCACAGATACATCGGAATATTGCGGTGGAAACCTTAGATGCCCCCAACAAAATTTATCCAATTCACAACTAAAATAACATAAATTGTCGATATGTTATTGAAGAACCCGTTTTGGTGCTTTCTTTCAAGGAACGAACAAACAGCGACTTCTCTTCTTTATATGAATACATAGATTTTGATTGTACAATACATTTGAATAGTATTTGAACATTCCTGAAGAAATTATCCGATTGGCAGTGAATTTCAGAAGTTACAAAATTCAGAAGAATTAATTTTATACGATTTAGTGACAAATCTTAATGTGGCCATTGTGACCCGGGCTCACTACTTTGAATAATTCCTCATCATCAATGCGTAGTAGTGCTATCATTCATTTGCGTACCTATCCATCCTGTATTATTTGTAATTCCTAATACAGTTACTGGTGGGTTATGACCACGCACATTGTCCTGTTTCGAAACAAACATAGTCCACTCTGTAGACCTTAAACACAGCCCACTAAGTTTCTCACCGGATCTTCTCAGTGGGTCGTGGCTCGCGTTTCCGATCCGGTGGTCGATTCTGGGAAGCACTGCTCTTGCTAGGGCTAGTGTTAGTAACTAGTGCCATTAATGGCTCGTTGAATCTATTATGACCCCTCGAGGTCACTAGAATTGGTAGGAAAAAGGGCGGACAGCCGTTATTCCATTGCTACTGACAATTCGACCCCGACTGTCACATTATATCCAAAGGTTTCAGTAACTAACATTACACAGACTATGGCCTATACCTCTAAATATTATTCGTTAAATGATTCTCAGTTCCTCTTCATAAATGCCATTTGACTTCTGGCCTTTTGTGTTTTTGTAAAACCATCGGTGCGGATTATTCAGTTACAATTGTCTTCATCTTAATCTCCTGTTTCTAGGTACCTTGCCTTGGTTTATTAACTGTAGCAGCTAGATCAACATTGTGATTTCGCATTACGTACTCGAAAAATTAAAACTTCGTATTCCTTCTATTAGGCATCTTAAAGTAGCGTTCTAAACGATAATTTTAATAGAAATAATAGTATTTGCAGCCCAGCCGATTGTAATTCTTAAAGTGACAAGGCAATTTATGTAATGAACTAGATTAAACTAATTTCTGTCATGACTATCTTAGAACTCATTTAAGTCGCCCGATTTGTATCATAGGACCAATCTCGTTCGAAGCAATAGGTCAAAGTTCTACAATAAAACTAGAAATATATTTTGAAACGTGGCGAACTGTTACTATGGGAAGCGGCAGCTCTTGGTACATTATCATCGCGTTGTAGGAGATTTAGTGGCATGTACTCGTAAGTTGCAATGGCGCCTGCTAGTTAACGCAGATTAATATGTTCCGTTAATTGAAACGGACTTGGCATATATCATGCGACCAATTGGACATTTTTAGATCTTAAGGCGGCTATTTTTAGCTTTTTCAAATTTTATTGACTAATAAAGAATTTGATCCGTCTTGTATAGAGCAATGAGTATAGGAGTCATCTCGAACAGTTTTCGTGGTGCTTTGATAATTCCCTTGTCTGTAATTTACAGTTTTTTTAAATTGTATTAATGGATGGACAAACTCACGGACTAATTGGTTTAGTAGAATATTTTTTTTACTGCTGGTGAGTATAAGAGCCGCATAACTTGAATACCGTCCAAAATTGAGCCGTTAGATGTAAGTTTCAATTGTATATTGGTTGTCCTACCCTCCAAGCCGAATGCTCTTCAAATCCGTCATGCGACATTGCGCCATAGATAAACAGGATAGTTATGCTTAACGCCGCGTCTACCAACAGCGTTAATAAGGGCCTTCACTCCTGTATCTACGAAGGCTAGAATACTTATTCAATCAGTATTGCACAAAGGACGACTATTAAAACCGGGCAAGGATCCCTAAAACACAAAACTACTTACGTTACTACGTAAGATTATTATCTAGAACCGATACTTATACTATAATCCGTGCATCGTTATTTGATATGTTAATTGTATTTTTTTTAAATTAAGTGGACGCGGAACCGCTATTTTGAATAGTTGGTTTCGTAAATTAATTTTAAAAATAAATACTTATTGATGCTACTTTTAAAAAAAAAGTTTATTAATTTTTAATTAGCGAATAGTTAAACATACCGATTGTCATACAAGACCAACAGCGAGGTTATGACAAGGTTATGCAGCCGATACGCCCGCAGATGTAGCACATTCGCCCTGAAACAAATGGAAATTTTATGAAACTAAAAGAGTTCTAAACCAATTAAACCAAACAGAAAAACTAAAGTCGTAAACATTGCTCTTTTTTTTCGTACAAAAAAAACGAATCAAAATTTATGTAAATCGTTAATACGCCGCCCCGATCATTAAGTTCGAGTAACAAAAAGATACAAGCCGCATGTCGATAAAGTCCATAATCCCACGGCAAATATGTTGAATGTTTACAAAATCTGCGAAATACTATACGAGTGACGTACGTCGACCTCCAACTTACTTTTCGACCAGATTTCGATTCGAAGCGAGCGAGCCGTCTCCATTTGCGGAAACATTAGTTTTTTTTTGTGGTTTTTTTTTAATGTAGCTTCACGGTCAATGTCGACAGGTCGGCCTTGTTCAACCGAGCACGTCTCACGCTCCACTGTCGCGTCGTCTAAGCACTGGACTTATAGTTATGTAAGCATACTCATTTAACTACTAATGTCTAATCGTTTGTAGAATTTCGATTTTACGATTATTGTTTTTATACATCGAACACAGTAGATCTACAATTATTCATGTAACATTGAAAATTGAAATGTTGTGTTTATTATTGCTTAGAATTGTTTTTTTTTTCTTTTGTTGATTTAAGCAAAAGTCGAATGGATCGGGGCACACGATGTTTTTAATTTTAACATCTGGTATTCACTTGATAACCATGAGAAAGAATATACATATGTATGTGTACATAATATAGTGTAGATATTGAAAACATCTGGCCGTCATAATTGTTTGCAACAAAAAAAAATTGCATTAATATTGTCATCAAATTAAGATATTCCATTCGAAATTTAAATAACATTGAAAACTAATCAAATAACATGAAATTTATTTTGATGCCACAGCAAAAAAAAAACGTTGGCAAAACCATAGACGTCACTCGCATTGCACTCACATGCATTTGTTAGTTTTATTCATTCATAAGCATTCCAAGCAAATTAATTTTGCAAACGTAGGTGGCTTTCTTCTTCGGTGACCCATCTAATAGACGATTTAATTCGATAAACTTCACTACTATAGACACATGCACATCAATCGAAAACAATAAATCGTGGAAATGCATCGAGTCAACGACACAACTGACTAACGTTCGTATTATCAAGTGCGAACGTCATTGACTCGCAGCTACAACTGTTATATTTTTAGACTAGCCATTACTAAAAATAGTAACGGTTATTACTGAATTAATATTTCTAAAAACGGATCGTCTACGCGCGTGTGATAACGTAGCCGAGAACGATAGCGGTCGTGACGTGACAGGCGTCATATTGGATTTGTTTGTTTGTTTCGTTCCGATATTTTTTTTATTAATGGCTTATCGGCTTATTGGGCTTAGTGACGTCACGCATTTTTAAGTTACGAAATGGTGATTTAAAATGTTAGTTGAGCTGATTTTTGGTCTGGTCTTATTAACTGTATATTTTTTTTTGCATTTAATCTGAAACGCTTTTTAAATGATTGTTTTTGTTTCTATGGCTCTCAAACTTTTTTAAGTAGAATTGATCGACCGCCCATAAAAATTAATTCTAAATCAAATGATTCGTGGATATGTCCATCGCGCGACAAAAACGCATTCTACCAAGTCCAACCTAGTAAATCACAGTCAATTTATTGTACCTGTTATTATTCAAACATATCTAGTATTGTCAATATGTGTCTATTACTTACACTTTGTTATTTTCAAATATTTGTGAAATATTTGTAAACCCTGATATGATAAAAATGAGTCAAAAATGTATATAATTATATATTTTATAATTTAATTTCACAGAGGAACGGAATTTTTCGGCGCGATCTTTTCTTCTTTGAAAACAAGTCATAGTTTATCAGATCTACAAATACAACACTGTTATGTAAACATTATGTTTATCTTGAGGTCGCGACATTTGCAATCACCAGGACTTTGGTACTTAACATGACCAAAAACATACGTGATAACAATTTTCTAATTTTTCTTTTGTGTTTTATACATTTCATTTTCAAACAACGAGACGCTTCAAGTAAATTCCTAGAAAGACGGAATTAAAGGATTTTGTTACAAAACTATTTTAGGTGCATTTAGCAAACATTTTAAATGGTATCAATTACGTTAACAATCCGGGTACAATCCCAACATATAGAATTCAAAACCTGACCTACGAATTAAAACAGACTACTATCCCAAAGGAATTTTCCGTAAAGTATTTGTTGAATTACTCATAAATGGACTTTCTAAATACAAGAAAGAATGTGTTACGTAAATGCCCTGTGTATACCACGCTTTCATTTTCCCGTATAAACTTTTTTAATGACGTCAACCGAATCTTTCATCCAGGTCGCCTATTTACGAAACTGCTATTTCGCACGCAGCATTAATATTTGTGGGAAAATGCATCTTCTTAATATGTTTTAAGTCTCAATATTCAATACGCTCTCATATGTAGAACGCACCAGAAAAACAATCTTAAAAGAACTACTAAACGTTGTTTATCGACGTGTTTTAAATTGGAACTTGTATGAGCTTGTTGGAGATCGAATGATTGAAGATGAATTAGAAATACGAATATCTTTTAATTATACTGAAATTGTAAATATATTTGCATTTATAATTTGGTAGTAATATGTATTAGTATTTAATATTTTAAACATAATGAGTGGACTGATAATCTAACCTATGATTTTGAATTTGTTTCAGGTTAGTGTCGAATAATATTGCAGTGATCAGCTAAGGTGAAGACGTACTTCAAACTCAATTACCTCGTGAGTAATACGTTTTAGGAAAATCTAACCGCCATATCCACGTTGCCATTTCAAATAAAATTCCTCAAAATTCTAATATTAGGAACTAAGTTCATAGTTTAGGCATAAAATTAGGTAATAATGAATTAACGGTAGGCAGCGGCTTGGCTCTGCCCCTGGCATTGCTGAAGTCCATGGGCGACGGTAACCACTCACCATCAGGTGGGCCGTATGCTCGTCTGTCTACAAGAGCAATTAAAAAAAATTCGCTTTTCAAATTTTGAAATAAAATTATTTGTTCATATTTAGTTTCAATTTCGAAATAAGGTCAAAGGTCAAAATTATTTTACTAAATGTAATCGTAGAATTAATATTTTTCTTCTATATTAACGAAATAATAAAAATCTGTTTTAAATTCTCAGTTGAGCACCGTCTTCCGTCATTTCGAATGATTTATTATAAAATATGACGTCACTGCTCAACGGAATAACAAAACTAGATGTAGCTTTGTCAAATCCTCGATTCAAATTATTACATAATCATAAAGAAATTACTAGAATGAGGTAGTAATAAAATGTGAATTAACTTGACCGAAATAATTACGCCCTCTACAAATTTGAGACCCACCCAAACATGTCGAAATGCATTTTATAGGACTTCATAATCTATATTATGGCATACCTGTCATTAGTTTATTATCTAAATTTACCTTTAATTTTAAATCGCAAAGTAAACTTTGTTTTTCCATACGGTCTGACGGTCTGGTGTCAAATTTCTTAGTGTTTTTATTTCAGTTCATCTGTGCCTTTAAGTAAATTGCGATAAACTAAAATGGACCACGTTCACCGCGATAATAACGTAATAAACAATATTTTATCAACGATCATTAATAATTAAAAACTGTGTCAATAGTGCCCGAGTAACATGGCATGAAATCATTAACTGAACGAGGTGTCCTTCAAACATTACGTCATCATTCTTAGTAATATTTAATGAGTCTCCAATATTTCAAGCATATGGTAAAATTTCAGTTTTAATTAATTAATATGCGTAGTTTTCACGACTTTAATTGTTTTTTTTGTTTGTTTTTTTATAAACGACTGCTCGACGATGTCAATGTTTATGAGTCACTAGTTTTTTTTTTTTTGATAACGCCATCTTGTTTTGTCTTTAAAGCAGTTAGTTGCTCTGAATTAACAAAAATAGTATTATTATTCGCCAATAGATGTATCGGGAAGAGTCATAAAGTTGATTAGTGATAAACTTGATTATTGAAAACACGAATAAAACAACATTTTCTGAAAATAAATCGTGGCTAGATCGATTTATCGCCTCCGAAATCCTCTGTATACTAAATTTTATGAAAATCGTTGGAGCCGTTTCCGAGATTCAGATTATATACATATATATTAATATACAAGAATTGCTCGTTTAAAGGTATAAGATAATATATAAGATATAATATTCAATTGTATTTTAAATCTTGCGTCCTCATCTTTTAAGCTGAGCCGCATCATTGCTGCGGTCTCACGATCGATACACCACCCTACCTAAAAATTTAACAACACATTCGATGTTTGATCTATAATAGTATCAGAAAATATTTGTCTTGTAATTACGCACTGTATAGTTTACAAATAATATAGAATCACCGTAGCCTTTATTCATTTTCACTTTCGTCAGAACAACAGGTCATTGACTGTACAAAATAGTATTGTCAGTGTTACCAACAGCAAAAATAGAATAAATAATTTGTAGCTTTACGAGATTTAATAAAGATGGTAAATTTTTATTATACAGTGCTTCCGATTTTTTCATTTCCTACCGCCCAAGTTCCGCAAATATGTAAGAATTCTACAATACATACTAATGAGCACGATCTTTTAAGAATCACGTTATACAGAGAATACATAGAATATGTTACTAGCAGCTACTGCCATGTAATAAGTACGATACGCAGTTTTCAAACAGGATTTAAACTTGATAATAGGGATGATGCTCAATTTCTCTTGAAAATAAAACTATGTAGAGATATTATACTTACTTATTACTTTCATTAATATTGAAAGAAAAAAAGTTTATTTGAGTCAAACCTGAATATTATACAACAAATGATATATTTGTTAAAGAATACAAAAATAATAAACCGTTGGTCGATTTACATTGACAATGTGGTGACAGTATCGCTAGTATACCAGCGCTAATCCGTCAAACACTATTTTCGTTCGGATGAAGAAAATAATGAATTTAATATTTTTTCGCTTCCACTTCTTCGGCAACCCTGCAAGACTAGGGCAGCAATCGCCAATCATGCGCGGCGCGAGTGCGTGTGCACATCTCAACGCGGTTAGTAATTTAGTGTCGTTGCTACTCGCCAACCAGCGCCGATCTTGTCTAGCCAACCGGTCTGTGGGGCAATTAAGTGACACAGTAAAACATTAAAAATAAACAAAGATAAGTTTGTCGTTTTAACTTGCGAATTTCACGTTTTAGTAAGATTTTTTATTCGTTTATATACCACGTTATGTACTTGAATTTTCGGTTTACAGTTTTACATTGGTAGTAAACACACACGTCATTTCGGATCCTCCCGATCCACTAACAGTGCTTTTAGGTACCCCAAGCACCGGTCATCGTTCTCGTCGAACCCGTCGCTTGCGACGAAGGGCTCTACGACTAAATTACCCTACAGATACAAGCCCACTGAGTTTCTCGCCGGATCTTCACAGTGGGTCGCGTTTCCGATCCGGTCGTAGATTCTGCGAAGCACAGTTCTTACTAGGGTTAGTGTTAGCAACGACGTCAGGTTTGAGCCCCATGAGATCCCTACTAGTTAGAATTACGCTAAAATGGTCTCTCAAAACCATCAGCTTAGATAGGAAAAAATAAAATAAAGTAGTAAACAAAAGCTTAATTTCTGTTGGTACCTTAATAGTAATACTCTATTGTGTAATTATGCCACAGGAATAGCCAGAAGATGCAGTTGGTAGAGAAAACTTGTATAGGATCGACCCAGTAGGTCATCACCTCATTCCTTCCCGTAGGTATGGCAAAGTTGTGTGAAGGATTTACAGAAGAAAAGGCGGCAGTGCTCTCTGAATAGTCTGCGTATACACGCGCGTACAGTGATGGCCCATCGGGCTATATTGGTGACAGGGCATAATGTGAGCCCTCTTATTTGTATTCTTTAGATGGGTAGACGAGCTCACAGCCCACCTGGTGTTAAGTGGTTACTGGAGCCCATAGACATCTACTTGGTAAATTCCGCTACCCACCTTGAGTTATGAGTTCTAAAGTCTTAGTACGGCTGCCCCAAACTTTAAATTGGAACGCATTTCAATTATCTTCCTACTATGTCTTTCAATGCAAAAAAAGGAAAACATTAAATGCGTAGTTAGTACTTGAATCGATTTGAAAAAATAATTTAACTAGGTTCACAAAATAATCTTGAATTAGAGTTAACGATTACAGAAGATTAATCGTAATAATTTATGTCCTTATCAAGAATACATCTCTCGGTTTAAATTTTCACTATAAAAATGTATTTTTTTTCTATTCGCATGTCAGGTCGTCACTACAGCACAACTAAAATATAAAACCTTATTCCGGTCTAGGATGATCGTGACACTATATCTGACAGGTGCTGCTGGCCTTAAATGGTCATACCACCTTTGGCGCCACACAAAGAAATTTATACCATAATTCAAAGCGTTAAAGTCCAACGTAATTACAATGATAAATTTACCGAAGATACACTTACGACGTTCCCATGCAATGCAGATTTGTCTTTTTTTTTTTTGTCTCTCTTTTTTAAACGGGTCTACAATGAATTCTGGTTTTTCAAGGCGAGTTCCAGTGCCGATACTCGATAGTGGAATGGATGCTATCGACGAACTAGGCTTAAACTTTTTTTTTTAACTGTTTAATAAACCTAACTTCAAGTACAACCGATTATTTAATTCACTAGTTATTTTCTTCTTGTCCTTTACGCCACTAAGTGCGGTTGTCATGACATGAATTCTTTCATAGTGTTCATAGACACTCCTTGTTATCACTTTATCTCTGCGTTCACGAACATTGAAATAGTTCTACATTCCTTTAAAACTTACTCAGATCTTCTTGACTTCAGACTTCTTGTTACGATTGTACCATTGGCAATCTTTCTACGGGCTTTTCTTTGTCTTTCTACCGTTTCTTTGGTTATTCTAAACGCAGATTATATTCATCGTATTCATATAACACGTACTGTAACAGTGTTGTCTGGTCCGATGGATTTTCCATTTTTCATGTATTTGTTGTCCAGCTTTTCTGTTATTTCTTGCTCTATAGAATAAACTATCTCGATTTTTTCGATTATTTTCTATTTAGTATTATTATTATTCGTTTATTTTAAAGGAACGGACAAACCTAAACATTCAACATTAACGTGTAATTTATTTACAAAAGGTTATAAAAGTATTGTAGATGTATACCTTCAATACTGATAGTACTGGTAAATAAGTTTCAACATAAACCATAGGACTGTTTGTAAAAAAAAGTTAATGCCCTTCGCTACAGCATCCGAGTCTTTCGACCTTGGTCGAGGCCATTACTTTTTGCGCGTTCAGTGTTGCCAACATTACGGTCCTTTTTCTCCGATACTGACAATCCCTTACGCAACATATCTTGCAATATTTGTGATCCTTAAAGCCTTTCACGTGAACTGTTTAACTTCTGTGTTAGTAAAAAGATAATTTCGTTTAAATATTATAATCTGCTTATAGCTCGCCCAACGGACACAGAGATACCCTTTAATTATGGCCGGTTATATTGGGAGAAAATTACGTTCTTAAATTTAATACCATTATTTATTTTACAGACACATTGAAGTGTGTACGCGAGTGCTCATTAAATTCCTATCACATTAGCTTCCTACCATATTATTGATATTGCTGTGTATGTTGCTATGTTTCGATACATTCATATGTAGGCCAACGTCTGAAAAGAATAAA